GAGTCCTCCGTGGGCTATACGGGGTAACTGGAGCCCTCCCTGGGCTTAACTGGGGATCCGGAGCCCTCCCTGGGCTTAACGGGGGATCTGGAGCCCTCCCTGGGCTTAACGGGGGATCCGGAGCCTTCCCTGGGCTCAACGGGGGATCAGGAGCCCTCCCTGGGCTCAATGGGGCATCAGGAGCCCTCCCTGGGCTCAACGGGGGATCAGGAGCCCTCACTGAGTTAGACTCGGGGATTGGGAAGTGTGTCAGAACAGCGAGTTGAGGGTGGAGTCATCCATGGCCGTAGAACTTGCAAGCCTGCAGAGCTCCCAGGAATACTCAATGAAGTGGAGATCCATGCGAGCTAAGGCGGTGAACTGAGCGGCAATTTCCATAGCCGTGGGGAAAACAAGGAAAACAAAAAACTTTCAAAATGGAAAAAAAAACGGGGAGAAGAGGCACCGCTCACTTTCAGTCTGGTCCGGTATTCTGTTACGGTTGCACTACTGAGTGGAATGCGGAGCAAGGAACGGAGGTGATACGAGACACCTGGGATCAATGGAAATAAACGGGGAACACCTGGAATTAAATCAACATAATCAGGACAGGAACAGGAAACTAACCAAATATGGGCAAGGAGGGCACATCGGGAGCAAAACACACACAAAACACGGAACAAAGTCTGACAGCGTCATTACATCACGTCTGTAAACATAATGAAGTTGTCCCAGCTACTAGGCTATCGCATGTGAGGATCCTGCAGGTGGCCGATCGTTTATAGCCTTTTCTCACAGCAGCCAGAATAATTAAATGTATCATTTTGATGGCGGATTGTAATCCATAAAGGATTGTGTGTTTATGAAGCACATGTGAATGAAATTAAATTATATTCCATTTATAATTGTGATTTTGATTACAGATAGCCTGGGATTACAAAGATTTGTATTTTAAAGAAAACCAGTTCGAAGGGAGCATCATTTGCTTTTTGGGTTAAAAGAATTTCTTAATATGAAATTCGAAGAGTATGACAATTAGATTAGACTATGCAGAAATTGAAATCTACACGCTAATACACACTATACTTATAGTCACCAATGCTGATGTTGTTAACATTAATCATTTGAGAATAAAGTATAACAATAATAATAATTTGAACGGTTTGATGTGATATGTGCTAACCGATCTTTAGATTTAATCACCATTGGTAGCGAGATTTATGGTAATGCTTTTTTCCTCAGTTGGTCAGAACAAATGTGGCAGACTTGTTACTTACTTGTTCAGATAGCAATATACGGTGATAATTCTTATTTGGGTCATATTCCAAGACGTAGGCTAGAATCTGTGATTGCGAAGTACAGTAAATATCCACACCGGTGCGGTGACTGACTGCCACACATACTCTTCAGAACATTAGATTCATCCACGCTGAAGCTGTGCCGACTCACAACCCACGCAAGCTAGATAATTCTGCACACAGCTGCAATTCCAGGTTTTCAAACAGAGATGGCGACAAAGAGGCAAAACTTACGGACTGCAGCTTTAAGTACAAGTACTGTTACATTGCTGAAATAATACTCTGGTGTAATAATACTGGTGTCAAAACAGTACTTAAGTAAAAGTACAAATTAATCTTCTCAAAAACTACTCAGAGCACTAGTTACTAGTTACTTTTTAGCTGGCGATATTTGATGAATTACCAAAAAAATATTAATTCATATCAAAGATCTATGTGTATAATAGCTACTTTGAACAAAACCCACTTTTATCTTATTGACAAATTACATGAAATTGGTGGTCACGATACAGGAATTTCTAACTTCAATACCTTGAAAAATATTAATATTAAACCCGTGAACCGGAAGTTGCAACTGACTTCAGTGTTGTGATGTATTTCCAAGTGAAACGGAATATTAAATAAAGGTCAGGGTTTTATTGTGGTGCACCTCCACTCCACCTGTATCACGGTTGGATAGGAGTGGTTAAGAATATCTGCTTGTTACGTCTGATATCATGCTTCACCGCTTCTGGGTCCTAACGCTCTACCAGACGCCCCAAGAAAACAACAAACTGTGCTAATATACAATGTCATGTAATACTGAAAAAATTATAACCCTAACCTTTATCTCCATACTGAAATCCCAGATGGCCAGACAGTGATTCAGCTAAAATATTACATTCATATTTAGTAGACGCTTTTATTCAAAGTGACTTACAAATGAGGACAATGAAAGCAATCAAAATCAACTATATTTAGTAGACGCTTTTATTCAAAGTGACTTACAAATGAGGACAATGGAAGCAATCAAAATCAACAAGAGAGCAATGGTATGCAAGTGCTATAACAAGTCTCAGTTAGCTTAACGCAGTACAGGTAGTATTATTAGTGTCTGAGATACTGTGAGCATGGAGACTGTAGTGTGCACAGCAAATTTTTAAATGCTTAGCTTAAATATGTAATATTAAATAGTGCTCATAAATGGCTGTTGAGATAGTATTCTCAAGTGAAATGAGTAGAGGCATGGACCCGGAAACAGCAGTCCTTACATCATGACTTAAAATGAGGATGAGGAAACTGACGTCATCAGAGCCAGAACGCCATTCCAGAGCAGAAGCCAATTTTCAGTTTTTGATTAAAGATTACGACGGCAGACAATTTTTTTTTAGTGTATTGACTTGCAGTTTAATTGTTCACCACAAGACTAGTAATGTGCACTAAAAAAGTAGGGTTATTTTTGATTTCATGACGAATTTTTCAACAATCATTTTCACTACCATTGGCAAAACTACCACATTGTCACACAAAGGGAGCGAGGAGAGAGCTCAAAAACAGACTTTTAATAACAAAAACCAAAGGGAATCCAAACATGGGGAAATGACAATAAACACCGGACAAAGAAACCAGGAACAGAACTCTCTTTAAATACACAACTAAACGAGACCAATTAATAGAACACAGCTGAAACAAATGGAACTTAATAAGGGACATGAACAACCAAATAAGGGCATAGAGAAACACGGGGGGGAAACTAGGACAAGGAGCACATGGGAACCAAAACAAACACACAGAACAGTCCAATGGCGTGACATAACTCCCCCTTCCCGGAAGGTAACAATTCCACCGGGGGGGGGGCTGGTTCCCTGGAGGCTGGTGCAGGACGGGGACAAGGAAGGCCTCCAGGGTGGATCAGGGAGCTCAGGAGGCCATGGCGGAACAGGCAGTCCAGGGAGCCATGGCGGAGCAGGCAGCTCGGGGAGCCATGGCGGAGCAGGGAGCTCAGGAGGTCATGGCAGAAGAGGGAGCTCAGGAGGCCATGGCAGAACAGGTGGTCTAGGGAGCCATTGCGGAGAAGGCAGCTCGGGGAGCCATGGCGGAACAGGGAGCTTGGGAAGCCATGGCGGAGCAAGTAGCTCAGGGATCCATGGCGAAGCAGGGAGCTCAGGGGGCCATGGCGGAACAGGCAGCCCAGGGAGCCATGGTGGGGCGGCCTCCGTGGCCTTGGCCTCGGCACTTGGCCCAGCCTCTACGGCCGGAACCCCATAGGCCCCCCCCAAAAAACTTCCTTGGGGTGAATCAGGGGTCTATAGGCCAGGATGGACCCTGGAGGAGGAGCGAGCACAGGAGGTCGCTCAGGAGGAGTGGGCACTGGAGGGTGCTCTGGAGGAGTGGGCACTGGAGGGCACTCTGGAGGAGCAGGCACTGGAGGGCGCTCTGGAGGAATGGAGTTCTCTAACACAGGAGGCTCAGGAGACAAAGGAGGGCTGGACGGGACCAGCAGAGGCTAGGGAGAAAAGGAGACGAAGGAGGGCTGGCCCGTTCCTTTGGGCTTGACTGCTGGGTGGCCGGCGGGCTTGACTGCTGAGCGGCCGGCGGGCTTGAGAAAGCAGCGGCCGGCAGGCTTGACAATGGGGCGGCCAGCGATCTTGACAATGGAGCAGCCGGCGTTTCTGGACGAGAGACTGGGACGGACCTTGTGACTGGAGATAGAGGGAGTGACATGGATTTTGTGGAGCGCTGTTCGAATTCCATTTACGGGCACGGAGGAGTACAGGAGGAGATGGGTGGTCACAGCCATTGGCCATGTATGTGGAGGGTCCCGGCGTGGGGGGAGCTGGTGAGGCCCTGTAGTTTTCAGGAGGGGCTGGATAGCACTTAATTTCTTCTACCTCTAATTCGGAACCATTTAAAAAGAGGACAAGATTAATCAGCTCGATCAAGGGAAAAAATAATCACACATGGGGAGATCGCTGCGAATAACATCATCATC